AATCGGAGCAGTCGCCGGAATCGGAGCCGGAGAAAAGTGGTGGTCGGAATTGTCGTCGGAATAGTCACCGGAGTAGGGGGGTGGTGCATGTGGGGTGGGTTTATTATATTATATTATATTAGAATTAAAAAAAAAAAAAAAAAACCTGATTTTTGAAGTTTCAAACTATAAACCTTATTTTTGAATTGGTGTAAAGAATACACCTTATTTATGAATTTTTCCCATTTTTTTACCGGAAATTATACAGATACTCACATGGCCCCATGTGAGTTAAATATTGTAAAAAAAATGGGGCCCACACCCATGTATTGTATATGATTTCTGGTTTTTTTTATTTTTCCTTCTTCTGTCTGTACATACAGTTCTTCTCTTTGATAATTACTTATTTTTGGGTTTAGGCAAACACACACACACACTCTCTCTCTCTCTTCTCTAAATCCCCTCCGTTGCTTCAGCGGTAACTGTCAGAAAAGCACGAACCAATTACCAATACTAAGATGCGCCGGAGGGTGGTTCCGGCGACGGATAACGGAGACACTGGGGAGAAGCAGGATCAGCTTCTTCTCTCCGCCGCAATCTGTAATGTCGAGGACCTCGGTCCCTTAATCCGCAAGGCTTTCGCCTCCGGCAAGCCGGAGATCCTCATCCGCCACCTCGAGCACTTCCGTCGATACAAGGAGTCGGAGATTGAAGACGTTTGTCGGGCTCACTATCAGGACTTCATTATGGCTGTTGATGACCTCCGATCTCTCCTCTCCGACGTTGATTCTCTCAAGTCCTCCCTCTATGACTCTAACGCCAAGCTCCAATCCGTCGCTGTTCCTCTTTTGACTTCGCTTGATTCGTTTGTCGAAGCCAGAAGTAATTGCAGAAACATCGCTCTCGCTATACGATCCCTTAACATTTGTGTTCAGTTGATGGAACTTTGCTCGCGAGCGAATTTTCATCTAAGTAAAGGCAATTTCTACATGGCCTTGAAGTGTTTGGACTCAATTGAGAGGGATTTTCTGGACGAAACGCCGTCGTCTACTTTGAGGAGAATGATGGAGAAGCAGATCCCGGAGATCCGGTCTCATATAGAGAGAAAGGTCAGCAAGGAGTTTGGGGATTGGCTGGTGGAGATCCGTGTAGTGAGTCGGAACTTGGGTCAGCTAGCTATTGGGCAAGCCTCCGCTGCACGCCAGAGGGAAGAGGAGCTGAGAATCAAGCAGCGCCAAGCCGAGGAGCAGAGCAGACTAAGCCTAAGAGACTGCGTATATGCTCTTGAAGAAGAAGATGATGGAAATGGTGGAATGGAAGAATCCGGCGAGGATGGCTTTGATTTGACACCTTTATATAGGTCTTATCATATACATCAGACTCTTGGTCTCGAGGCTAGGTTCCAGAAGTATTATTTTGAGAACCGAAAACTTCAATTAACTTCGGATTTTCAGGTATCTTCAATGACCCCATTTCTGGAGTCGCATCAGACATTTTTTGCACAAATTGCTGGTTTTTTTATTGTGGAGGACCGGGTTCTGAGGACTGGAGGAGGGTTGATATTGAAAATGGAGGTAGAAAATCTGTGGGACACTGCTGTGAGTAAAATGTGTTCAGTGTTAGAGGACCAGTTTTCTAGGATGCACACCGCTAATCATTTGTTACTGATCAAGGATTATGTGAGTTTGCTTGGTGTCACAATGCGTAGATATGGGTTCCCTATTGATGCCTTGCTTGATGTACTGAGCAAGCATAGGGACAAGTATCATGAATTGCTGTTGTCTGATTGTCGTAAGCAGATTGCCGAGGCTCTTGCAGCTGATAAGTTTGATCAGATGTATATGAGGAAAGAGTATGAGTATTCAATGAACATGCTTTCGTTTCAGCTACAGACTTCGAGTATAATGCCTGCGTTTCCATTTGTGGCACCATTTTCTTCTACAGTCCCCGACTGTTGTAGGATTGTGAGATCATTTATTGAGGATTCTGTGAGTTTCATGTCACATGGTGGGCAGCTTGAGTTTTATGATGTGATCAAGAAGTACTTGGACAGGCTGTTGACTGAGGTCTTGGATGGGGCTTTATTAAGAGTTATTAATGGTTCTTTGAGTGGTGTTACTCAGGCTATGCAGATGGCGGCAAATATGGCAGTGTTTGAGCGTGCTTGTGATTTCTTCTTTCGGCATGCTGCACAGCTTTCTGGAATTCCTCTGAGGATGGCGGAAAGAGGCAGGAGGCAGTTTCCGCTGACCAAAGCTCGTGATGCAGCTGAAGAGATGCTCTCTGGATTACTAAAGCAAAAGGTTGATGGCTTTCTGTCATTGATTGAGAATGTGAATTGGGTGACTGATGGACATCTGGAGGGTGGGAATGAGTACGTGAATGAGGTTATTATCTTCTTGGAAACATTGGTTTCTACTGCTCAGCAGATTCTGCCGGTTCAGGTTCTTAAAAGGGTTTTGCAAGATGTCCTTTCTCACATATCAGAGATGATTGTTGGGACTTTACTTGGGGAATCAGTCAAAAAGTTCAATGTGAATGCTGTGATGGGGCTTGATGTGGACATTCGACTGTTGGAATCATTTGCTGAGAATCAAGCTCCTCTTTTATCTGAGGCAGATGCAAATCAGTTGAAATCAGCACTTGTTGAGTCAAGGCAAATGATCAATTTGCTTTTGAGCAATAATCCAGAGAATTTCTTAAATCCAGTAATTAGAGAGAGAAGTTATAATGTCCTGGACTATAGAAAAGTGGTGACCATTTCAGAGAAGTTAAGGGACCAATCTGATCGGCTGTTTGGTTCCTTTGGGACCAGAGGAGCTAAGCAAAATCCTAAAAAGAAGTCTCTGGATACATTGATTAAAAAACTCAAGGACGTAAACTGAAATCACAAAATTCTGTATGTTCCATTTACTGTTGTTCATGCTCTAGTTGGTTGATTACTTCATAGGTTTTCATTACAAATATTATATGCCATTTTTCGTTTGTATTAATCTCGTATTTTTGCACATTTTTTCTGTAGTCGATTCTTTAAAGACATGTTGATGATATTCTTTAACCTGTAACTTTTAAATTATTTCTGAGCTTCAATAAGGTATTTGACCAACCTTTGTCTCGATGCATACGAGTTTGACCAAGTAGCTCGGATATTGACTTGATTTTCACGTTTGACATAGTATAACTGGTTTTAGATATCATTGGTTGCTTGTGTTTCCACGTTATGATATTTATTTGGTGCCTTGTTTCTCCATTATTTCTTTCTTCATGATTCTCTTGACGTGTGCAATAGCACTCAATTCATGATCAGTTGGTTTCTCTGTATTCATTTAAAGATTTTAGGTCGTTAGTTCATTGAGTTAGTTTGATTGAGATTTATTGCTTCGTCTTGAATAAAAATTTCATTTATTTAGACCTTATGTTTTCTCTTTCTTTTTCGCCACTTGAGAATGAAAGTTAAGGAAGCTTGCTAATCGTTTGGCAATAAAATATATAGGAAAAAAATATTAGCAAGGCTGGCAAGATTGAGGACTTTGATCGAGGAAAACTGAGATTATGTTCCTTTTCCATAGCATGCTCTAAACTACAAGTTCCCTGTCTTAATTAGGAAAGGGAAGACTATAACTAGAAACTAGTGGAGAAATCCGTTTATTGAATGATAAATAAGTACAAGTGACTGATCGAGGCCAGAGATAGACCTAGATCAAAATAATCCCTCCTTCGAAACACTTGGGTGATGCTCTTGGATTTCTGGGTCTGATTTTGAACTTTCCTTTCTCATGCGCAGTGATGTTTATTGTTTAATTTTCTTTAAATCAACCAGTGATATGTCGAAATAGAATCTTCAAGTGGAGGGGTTTGTTGCATCATAACATCAGGATACAGGCTTCTGAACTGGGAGACAATAATTGTGAGATGCAAAGTCTCACATCTCATTAAGATCGTATTGGCATGCACTCAGAATTGGTGAAGAGAATCTATGAGAATTGTTCTTGAACATGGTTCCGACTCGGAAGCAGCAGAATTCATGAGTTCGGTCGAACAAGTGAAGACTCTAAAGGTGACCTAATTCCATCTTTATTCCTTCTTGTGGGGGGGAGTAGGTAAGGACAACCCTCTGAGAGAAGTAAACTGCACTAGACAACTTGGCATTCATGACAGTTGGATGAAACAGTCAACTGCCAAAAATATATGCAAGAAATATCTGAGCTTACCAGCCATCTTCGTCTCTATCTATTCAATCCTTTCGATAAAAAAGCTCATAAAGTGAACCATATTTTATTTTTCTCAACCAAACGCCCATGGCTTGGATAACTACTAGTTTTTCCTCTATGTGCTTGTGTTGTGTGTTTCTGGCAGGGACAATCCTTTAGATTCAGCATTATGATTTTCCAGTTTCTAAAGGGGCAGCAGTGTGTAGTTTGAACCTACCTGAATGATGCAATTAGAGATGTGAAAATTGGTCGAAATGCACGTATTTCAAGACATGATTAAGAGACTGAGCATTGTAAGTAGAGATATCAAATCAGCTCTGGGCAAGCTTGACCCTAAAGTTGGGTCATGTTAACTTGAGCGGCCTCCACTTAGGCTGTGCCGGATGGCCTGATCGTGCCTTTTATGAACTGGACAGTTCCACCGGAAAATTAACCGTTTACTTAAACAAAACTTTCCACAGTTAATTTTCCGATTGAGAATGTTGTGAAGAGCCCACAATGTGGTTGTCGAATTGACTGTGTGAATGAGATTGGATTTGAAGGGGTAAAATCCTCACGAGACTCGTGTACTCTTCTTGAATCAGATGTAAGTTTATATATATATATTAATATAGATTTCGAGTTAGACATGTCTCGATGAATAAATGTAAGAGTTTACCAATTTTGCTGGATGAAAGCTAAGTCAGGCATTTAGGGTCTGCTTGATAGGCAAAGGTGAAAAGGAATTTCAATTCCATGTTAGTTAGAAAATAAAAACCCACCAAACCCATAGGAATTCGTTTTCTATGAAAAATAAGAAAATACAGTTTAAAGTGGTTGTACCTTAGAATTCGATTTTCATTTTCACGTTGCAATCAAATGGTCAAAGTGGAATTCGTTTTCTTCGGATGTGACATTTTCCATGGAATTCGTTGCAATCAAACAGGTCTTAATGTTTAAGTTTTTACATTTTCAAAAGAAAAAAAGAATCGTATGGGATTATTTTTCATTTTGTTCTCTACCACATTAACTTGCTACCACATAACCTCTATATTCTATTCATTATTTTTTTTTTATTATTTTTTTTTTGTAAAAATGAAATCATGTGTTAAAAACTACAGTGTAGATACAGATTGACTATGAGCTTTTCTTAGAAATATGAATATATTTGTTATTTATTTTTTTCTATTTCTTAATATTCCAATCTAATCACATATCATCTATAATTTTCATCACCAACTTAAGAAAAGGCCATCTAGCTCTCTAGAGTTGAATTCCCTTGGCATGTAATATGCTCCAAATTTGTTTGTATAATAGTACAATAGATTGGTATAGTGTTAATAAACCATACATTAATGGATTCATTATAAGTCAAATGATTTTTTATTTATATATTTATTGAAATTTACGAGTAATATCCACTTGTTACTATCTGTTTATAAACACATATTATAAATACTTGCCAAACGTAGACTAAAGAACAATTTGGTAGGGATTTTGAAAAGTCAAATACTACTTTAAAACTAATAAATTTTGAGATCAAAAATTTATTTTTGAAAGTGTTTGAATAACTTTCTAAGAGTTTTTCAAACGACTTAAAATATTAAAATGTTCATAAATGAAAATTTATTTATTTATCCCTTATTTGATTCTCATTATTTTTTAAAACAATATTTTCTCTCTCTCTTTCTTTTTATTTCATATTCTTTAAAAAAATAATATTATATATAAATTAAAAAAATTTTCTTGTTAGTAGATTTGATCAAATAGTCCAACTTCGGGGATTTTGATGAAGAAAACGGATTCGTACGTACCATCTAATTGGCTCACAAAATTCAGTTCATTCAAGAAAATGCTCACATAATCGCTGTCTTCCCAATTCCCATTCTTCGACCCACAAAAATCCCCATAAAAATAGTTGTCGTAACAACAATATGTCAACGATACAGCGGATCTGCATTTTTCTATCCCTCTTTTTCGCCACCCCATCATTGTCTCTGACCACCGCAGACGGCGGCAGAACCACTCCTCTGACGGCCTACGATGTTCTACAGTCGTACGACTTCCCGGTTGGCATCCTTCCTAAGGGCGTGACCCACTATGAAATCAACACAGCCACCGAAAAATTCAGTGCGTATTTCGATGGTTCGTGCAGTTTCTCCTTGGAAGGTTCTTATCAATTGAAGTATAAGTCGAAAATCAACGGGGTACATCTCCAAAGACAAGTTGACCAGACTTTCTGGTGTCACTGTCAAAGTCCTTTTCCTTTGGCTTAACATTGTCGAGGTCAAGAGAAATGGGGATAAACTTGACTTCTCCGTGGGAATTGCATCTGCTGAATTTGGGATAAATAATTTCTATGAAAGTCCACGATGTGGTTGTGGATTTAATTGCAAAGTATTTCTGAGAATTGCCAGAGAAGAGGTATTAGGAGTAATCCCTTCGTTTCTTCAATCTAGCAGCAGGATGTTGACTTTTTTCTCCATCTCTAAAATTTGGAATTGCATACGTCTTTTACTTTAATGTTGAATTCTGTACGTGTTCATAATTTTAATAATACTGAATTTTTCTTTGATATCTCTGTTTTTTAATACTTACGTTTTTGTCTATGTCGAATATTATGGTTTCTGGAATACAGTATTATCTCTGTTTCTAAGGTCTCTATCAATGTTTGTGGTGGAGAAACTCATAAAATATTGTCACTACTTTATCAAAAAGTTATAGCTTTTGGCATTTTGGACTATGCTAGATGTACACTTTTGTGTACATCAAGTTTGACACTTCCTTACATGGGGAGTGGGGCCCGCAATCTTCACGTGAAGAGAGTGTCAAAATGAATGTACACCAACGAGTGTACAATCATCATAACCCTAATTTAATCCGTCCTATACACCAGAATCAACCTCGGGAATCCATGCCAAGTCCATTGTCTTGGGCCCACCTCTGTTTCAAGCATGATCTGGTCTTTTTTCTGAGAAAAATGCTATTCATCCCCAGTGGAGATGCATCCCCCATCTATGTGGATGTAAATGATTGATTAAATGATAGGTGAAATTAAATGACTTATTTAATTTCACATATCATTTAATGCCACATATTTAATTTTACCTATCATTTAATGTCACATAGTGGATACATCCCCACTGAAGATGAATAATATTTCTCTTTTTCTGAACTCTAGTCCCCTTTTGATGTCTATGTGTCAAGTTGTCCACATGTTATTAGAAAGGACTAGTGCATTGCGGCAAGATATCATTGCTTGGGTGCTAAGTATCTGTGAAACTGATAATTGGAAGCAAAGATGGCTATGTAATAGAACTTGCTATGGAAAATTAGGTACCTGAGAATTCTGCTTGCTGAAAGCATTCAGACATCATATTAGTTGCAATGGGCGAATGGTTACTCCGTGATGCCTTGAGGACTTATTTGTAAAGTGACACTAATTTGGGTGCTTTAACCAAGTGGCTTCGTGTAGGTATTTTGACTCTACTGATTGTGCACAGAGATGAGAGATCTGTGGTCTTGAATTTTAATTTCAGTCACCCTCTTCTTAAAGTTCCATGAAATACGTCGTTTTAGTATTGAAGAATTTATAAAAGTGTTTTTTCTAATTAGAAGAACTTTAGACGAAGTTGGTTCAACGTGAATTTGTCTATAAGAAAGAAAAAACTTTTTTAAAATTAGTTTTCAAAGTAGTGTTGGGCCGGACCTGAATTTTCGGGTATTTGGTAAATGGAACTGTTGAGTCCAAATTTAATTATGAAACCGTTCGGGGTTCGGTTCCATTCAGTTCAGTTCGATTTTGTTCGGTTCTATTCGATTCATAGATTCTGTACTCGGTGCGACCGAGCCCGAGCCGCCGAGCTTTTTTGCCTTCCCTAGTTGCAATGGGCGAATGGTTACTCCGTGATGCCTTGAGGACTTACTTGTAAAGTGACACTAATTTGGGTGCTTTAACCAAGTGACTTCGTGTAGGTATTTTGACTCTATTGATTGTGCACAGAGATGAGAGATATGTGGTCTTGAATTTTAATTTCGGTCACCCTCTTCTTAAAGTTCCATGAAATACGTCGTTTTAGTATTGAAGAATTTATAAAAGTGTTTTTTCTAATTAGAAGAACTTTAGACGAAGTTGGTTCAACGTGGATTTCTCTATAAGAAAGCAAAAACTTTTTTAAAATTAGTTTTCAAAGTAGTGTTGGGCCGGACCCGAATTTTCGGGTATTTGGTAAATAGAACTGTCGAGTCCAAATTTAATTATGAAACCGTTCGGGGTTCGGTTCCATTCAGTTCAATTCGATTTTGTTTTGTTCTATTCGATTCATAGATTCTGTACAATAATTAAATTTTTATATATTATAACAACATTACATTAATTCGACAATGGCATGTTCAATCTTAACTCTTATAAAATAATGTAGTCTAATCTCGTGATATCTTTTGCACATCTTTATTGAGTTCTTCATAGATTTAATTGTTAAAATTACAAGAAGATGAAGATAACGAGTCCATAATAATAGAACGGTAGAAATGGTGCTACGGTAAGACATTTGGGTAAAACTTATGTTAATTTGATTAAGTTGGACTTGACTGAAAATTAGAAATTGTAAAATCATATTTTTGGGTTTGGACTAAATTAATTAGTTAGCAAATTCATTTAAAAATAATAATTTGACTTATTTAAGATAAAGAAATTAGAGTTCTTCGGTTCTCGGTCTAAAACAGAACCAAACATGTCGGTTCTCAATTCAGATACTAGTTCGAGTATTAAACTTAAAAAGAATTGTTCGTCTCGGTTCAGTTCGATTCGGGTCCAATTCGATTCGGAAGTTTTGTCGAACCCCTATTTCAAACGCTAATTCGAGATAACATTTTTATGTTATGAAACTTTTCTACAAAAAGTATGAACATAGAAGTCCTGCCAAACGCCCTGATTATTACGAAGGAAAGGGCTTACTGCTATCGTATTACCTTTGAAGAAGTAGTTGTGGGATGATTTAAAAAAATAATAAAAAATAAAAAGAATGTATTTTATACATCATGAACTTGATGTGAGTATTCCAGAATTGTTAAAAAACTCATGAACGCTATAGACTAAACAGAAAAAAAAAAATGTAATGGACGATATTAATGAATAGTTGGTTGCTTTACAATCCACCCTTCCCTGTCAATGTAGGAAATGTCTACGAATGCAAGTAACTCTTTTGGGCTCAGAGTTTTTGCCCAGTCGACTCGATTTGACTTGTCGTAACCTGATCCATAACATTGATGCTCAACAAAGGTTATTTTTTTTACGTCTTTATCCCAAGAAAGCCATCCTTCGGGAAAGATATTGTTGGCCATAAGTGTCTTGTAAAAAATAATTCTCGAATATTCTTTCCACGCTCTTCCTAAATATGTCTTTCCTTTAGATCTTCTGATCATTCTACACTTCTTAAATACAAATCCACTCGAATCATTTGGATCATATCTTCCCTGAGCAGCTATATAGCCTATTTCCGGTGTATTAACTAATATGCGACATTGTTCGTAAATCGATTGACCATTACCAAAGATGAAATCGACGGCTCCCTCGATGGTACATTGATTAAAGTAGTGCCTACCTCTCTCGTCGTACAACGTGTCCTGGAATCCCAAGAAACTACATCGATAGAAGGCCAATTTATCACCCGCGATCCTTTCTGCCACCGCCCACGACGGGTTATTATTCTTGGGGGGATAATTGTAAGAATTCACAAATTTTATTCCGGATACGAGAGTATTATCGGCCATAAAGCTAATGGTCGGACTAGTTTCGATTGTGCCATTGTCACCCCAAGTAACCGTAGTTCTTCCCACACCGTCTCCTTTCAGATAGATGAACGGCTTGTCAGAAGGGATCGTTACTTTTTCTTTATAGACGCCTTCTTTGATCGAGATTTCAATCCATTGATCGTTATTCGAAGGCACGGAATCAATGGCGGATTGAATGGTGGGAAAATTATAAGGATTTCCTGGATTCACATAGAGCACTCCATTCGCCAATGTGAAGCAAAGAAAGAAAGCTAGAATATGAATTGAAGTTTTCATCGATGTATATTTGCTTATGAACTGAATTTTTCTCTGCCTGAACATCAATCAACTCTCTGTGTGATTTACGTACGTGGGTTGGTGGTGTATTTATAATGCATGGAATGGAATCTGCCGTGTCCAAGAAGAAGAATGCTAATGAAGTTGAACTAGTTCAGGAGTTGATGAATTGAAAGTTTAATGCAATTCCAGTATCGTATCCCAGTCGTTTTAGAACTGTAACTTCAAAATTAAATTTTGATGTGGTTCAATTCAATAAACTTTTACTTGAATTAGGATTTCGAATTGGAATTGGAATTGGATCCTGTTTTTCTAATTGAATTGGGATTGAGATTTTTAGGATAATTTACAAATTAAAATTCTATAGGTCGATTATTTACTGTCATAATTAAAAATACGTATAAGTGCGTATTTGTTAGTGACATTTTTAATCGGCGAGACAAAATTATTTTTTATCGAAGCATTTTTTTTTGTGTAGAAGTTTTTAATGTGTCACAACTATTTTTTAGCCGCTGTTTGGTCTTCATTTATTAAGATTTCATTTTTCTAATTTTCAATCACATCAATTTCAATAGAATAATTTAGCACGTAAGTACATTATTTTTTTCCCAAAAAATTAATTTTCCCAAAATTTATTGTAAAAAATAAAAAACAAAATAAAAAAAAAAATCTACAATCAGGGACTTAAATTATTGTTATCAAAACATTTCAACACCACAAATAAGCTCACATAATTATATATTATTTCATTTGTCTTTTAGAGATAGATTTGCTTTCATTTTTACACAGATTAAGAATATGTTCTTAGTATAGATGGAAAAATAAATTATAATTACATTTTTTTTTAATAAATATACCACTACATTGAATAATTATTTTAGCCAAAATTTGCATTATTGCGTAGTGTTTTGATCTCATTTCAACCACATATTTTTCAATAAAAAAATATTACACGCAAATTCATATTTTTTTCTTTATTTTTTAACCACATACTTCACGATACAATATTCAAAAATGTGTATATATATATTTTTTTTTTACAAAAATGGGACTCAAACAAGTCCTTAACAACAAAACCGAAAAAATTAATTACACATCGACAACTTATTTTTAATTTGGGACAAATATAAAAAAATAAACAGAGTGATACAAAATTAATTTGCACTTTTTTCTTTAACTAGTACATTTGGAAGCGCACTTTCTTGTTTTGCTAGCGAAGTTAGAAAAAATAAAATATAAAAATGGAGTGCTATTTATGTCAATTTTCCGAATTTGCCGATATCGAACTTTATCGAGGCCCAAATAGTACTCCCAGAAATTTTAATGGCATCCACCGTAATTCCGCCGCCCGACTTCTGAGTTCGAAGTTAGAAACTCTCTGTTCAGCTTTACTGGTAAAAGAGACGAAAACAGTGGCCATGGCGGAGAATACCCCCAATGGCGGTGATGTTCCTCCTAACATGACTATTTACATTAATAACCTCAACGAAAAAACCAAGCTTGACGGTATTATGCACACTTACATTTATCCCTACATTTTTACATGCATTTAGATGCTATTTCTGAATGCATATGTTTTATAGATTGATTATTTCTTCTTAGAATTGAAGAAATCGCTTCACGCGGTGTTTTCGCAATTTGGGAAAATTCTGGAGGTTTTAGCATTCAAAACCCTAAAACACAAGGGGCAAGCTTGGGTTATTTTCGAGGAGGCTTCTTCTGCCACTAATGCACTTCGACAGATGCAGGGATTCCCTTTCTACGACAAGCCCATGGTAGGATCTTCATGCATTTGATAATCCTGCTTTCTTTGAGTGATACACTTTAGTAGCTAACCTGAATTTTGGTATGTTAATTTCATTTTTGGGTTCGAGTCCAATAATTATGTGCTTGCTGCCAATTGAATATTATGGTTTACCTGATTTAATTGATGTTTGTACCAGAATGCCATTGTGTTCTGGATAATTTTACGTTTTATTGACAAACTTGATGTCATAATGTTCTCATTGAATTCTCATTAGTCATTACCAGGCACGGCACTAATGAGTGAAACTCCCTTACTAACGGAACGGCAAAAAGAAGCTTACTTAACCTGAAACATAGAGGCACAATAATTAGCTATGAAAATCTATCACTCTACAAAATTTTTATTTACGTGGTCCTATGTTTCCTATCACACATCTTGCTTACACAAAGGTTCATTTGCACCATTTAAAACCCCACATTGACCTTTTGTGGCAAGGACACTAGCAAACGTCGGACTCATTATGTATTTTTTATAATGATCTGTAATTTGCATGATATGGGAAATAGTTTGCCATCCCTAAGCCTGTGGAGAAGAGGAAGGATCTCTCTTGAGGTGCATTATAATGTTTTTTGTTTAGGTAGCAACTACATATGATCAAAGCTAAATTAGATAAAAAGGAAATGAGCATATTTCTGATTTGGGCGTGGTAGTGCAGATTTATTGTAAATTTTGGGGAATAAATAAATAAGAATGGTTTAGACAATAGTAAAAGAAGGTCACTGGATGCCCTGGATGGCATCTTTTTGAATTAGTATTGATGGTACACCTAGAGGGAAGGATCAATTAGCAAGGATTCAAGTCTCTGTGGTTTGACTATGGAATAATTTATGGGGTAGAGTAGAAGGAGTATATCCTTATAGCTTTGCCAAATAGGTTTATGATAAGGCTGAGTTTAGGAAAACCAAACTCTTGTTAACTGCTACTGTACTTATATTTGAATGGACAAATTCTTTTCAATACTCTTGAAATCTGTAGGGATTTGCTTCATGTACTCTGTATCTCTGTGGTATTATTAATGTCTCTTATGTGGTTGTAAACTTCTATAAGAAATGAAAAGCCATCTCATGCAATGATCTTAAATTATACTGTAAATCTCCTTCAGCAGCCATCGGCGTTTTCTAAATGATGAAATAGCACTTTACGTAGTTGGTCATTTTTATATGTGAATACATGCATAATTTGTATGATGGCTCGATTTCTAATAAGGCGAAAAGATTGTAGCTGACATTAAACTTGATGAGTGCAATTGGGGTCTCTTTCTTGGCCTTTTACCTTTACCGTGTGCATATTTGATTTGTCCTAATCATCCAACTTTTTGCCACATTGGTTTGGATGTGTAACGTAACTTTTGTTTCCTGTCTTTCGTACATTCGGTTTAAGCCCCTGTTTGAGCCATATTATTTTTTTCATTCTCATTCTTTTACTTATATTCAACCACGCATTCTTCAATAAAATAATATTTTTCATCACATCAATAATTTTTCCTTCTTTTTCAATCACATATTCCCCATCATATCAAACAAAAAAATTCATTCTTGGACTCAAAATGTGCACCAAACAGGGGCTAAATTGTGGGGCCTCTCTTTTCTCGATTGAAATGTGGTTTTTCTTGTATATTTATCACAGCGTATACAATATGCAAAGACAAAATCTGATATTATAGCGAAGGCGGATGGTACTTTTGTACCTCGAGAAAAGAGAAAGAAGCAGGACGACAGAGGTAAAGCATCTTTCTTTGGTACATAATACTAATCAATACACAGATTATGTAACTATTCTTCTACAAAAAAATAACGCGTTATTTCCTATCATAAACACTATAGAAAATGTGGATTAGCTGAAGCAGTATCAATTGATAATGGATGCTATCTAGTTGAAGCCTTGATTTCATCATTCATATAAATTATAATTAGTTTTTCTTCTCTACATATGTGTAGGTTTGTAAGGGATTCTTTGGTTGGGATGTGAAAAACTAGGCTGGTTTATTTGACTACCTTTGTAATTTTCAACTTCTTGCTGGGGGAGTGACATGCACTTTTGGGGTGGGGGTTCATTCCCTTTCTTATCTTAAGGTTTTGCATGATCGATAATCTACTGATAGCATAGCTATGCAGCTTGCTGGTTTTACAAAATACATCATTAAAATGAGATAGCATTTCTGGATTCCATGCATAGTTGACTGTTTGAGCCATTTAGAGTGATAAAGTGATTTCATAATAGAATACTGCTGTCGTAAAGCCAAAACTAAAAAAGTGGAATGGGAAATCATGTTGCCCCCAGTACTTAAATCCTTTACGCGAAGAAGTGTGTCGATTTATGAATTAATTGGAGTGATCTCTTAAGTGTTGCTTCAATTCGTCAACTCTGGTCTGCATTGTTGTAACCTAAGTGTGTGGGTGCAATACTGCTAAATGTGTAGGCATACCTAAGCGTGGGGATGCAATACTTTTAAACATGTAGATATGTGTATAGGCTGATTTTTGGCTGTGTATGACCTGTAAATACTCCTGTTTAAGTTCTAGTGTCATTACATGTATACAAGTGCTGACATATTACCAACATACAAGGGCCCTTGTATCCCTGTGTAGTAACTTGTGCTGTTGTGCATACATTTGCAGAAATGTTGTTATAAATAGTGCAGACAGAGTAGAAAACTTCAGGTTTTAAAACTTACCACTGTTGTTAGTGTTCCCAAAACTCAATTTTCTGGAATAAGGACATAAAGTAGCATTCATTATATTTGAGAAAAGAAATGCAAAGACAATAAAGGACGACTTGAGATCTATTCTGTATCTGGTTCATGAATTCTGTTCACATTTATAAGTTCTCTCTTCTTTTCTTTAAACTCTTCTTTAACTGTATTTTTCTCTTGAGCTACAGGGAGAAAGAAAAAGGAGCAGCATGATGCTTTGAACCCGGCCTATGCTGGTGCATATGGTGCAGCACCTCCTGTAAGCATATTGCTCAAAGATAACCTCCCTGATTTTTCATGAATTTCTATCAGAATGAACTTTGTTAAAATTGAAAGTGCCCATTCTTACAATAACATAATTTGATTAGGCCATCAACTGTTACCAGTTAGTTTACGTAAGTTTTGGAAAAAATGCTTGACTGTAGGCAGTAGCTCAATGATGTTGGTTTATAGAGTGATAAATGAAATAGAAAAATGAGAAAGTCAAAAGTATATGTTTGAACTGAAGCCATACTTGTGAAACCCCCCATAACTGTTGAAAATGGCACATCATTTATCCCTGAGATATTTCTTTCTTTGTGATCTGAACTTTTGTCACATTTAGAGGTTAGATGTCTCTGGAACCTGCCAGGAAAATCAAAGTCAATATACGAGAACAGGTTTACTGTGATTCTAGAATAGTAGAATGCTAGAAACCTGAAGGAAATCTTTTAAGATGAGTGAGCAACAAAAAAAGGTGAAATTTTGTTCTTTCCATGCATGGAGGGTTGCTCCCTAAGAATCAACTTATGGAGTTGTAAATCCACTAAGTACATTAAGCCCATGTTTGGGAGTCATTTTGGCCAAAAAGATCCTGCCCCTCCTGACGCCAACACCGTGTAACGTCTATAATTTGGCGAAAAATATTGGATACAAAATGGGCATCAAACAAGCGCTAAATTCATTTTGGCCAAAAAGATCCTGCCCCTCCTGACGCCAACACCGTGTAACGTCTATAATTTGGCGAAAAATATTGGATACAAAATGGGCATCAAACAAGCGCTAAATTCATTATGATAGATTCTTGTCAAGTCGGTTCATGAATAAAGTGTGCTGGCTGGACATGTTCTTAAGTTTCTTAGATAAATTTATTATCTTCACCAGAGCTATAAAACATCAGGATGCTATATAAAGAATCAAAGCTGTTGAATCCTGAAAAAAGCTTGCTTAAAATAAACCCCTTGAATAATTTTTGTAGTATAGAATAATGTCAAGCTTTTATTAAGGACTTGTTTTTGACATACGAAGCTCAAGTAATGTAATGCTAACCAAATCTTATGTGCTTTATTTTGCCATAGTTGATATTAAACTGCTTTCCTATACCAATTTTCCTGTTTAGCATTTTTTATTGTCATGTATGAAGTTGATGATGCTTGTGTAACTCTCTCCTATTTAGTTATAATATTTTTAAACGAACTTAATAGTAAGCATCCTCTCTCCAAATGTTGCAGCTTTCTCAAAATCCGTATATGGGGGCTAAAGCTGCTGTCCAGGAGGCTCCTGCTCCACCAAATAACATTTTATTTATTCAGAATCTTCCTCACCAGACGACTCCAATGATGCTGCAAATGCTTTATTGTCAATATCCTGGATTTAAGGAAGTTAGAATGGTGGAAGCAAAACCCGGAATTGCTTTTGTAGAATACGAGAATGAGATGCAATCAACTGTTGCAATGCAGGGACTTCAGGGATTTAAGATAACCCAAGACAATCCTATGTTGATTACCTATGCAAAGAAGTAGCCGTTTTGTACTGCTTTTGCTCAAGAGAGTGAATGTTTCTCCATATTTAATCATTATAAGCGACAGCTTTCCGGTGGTACCTGTGTTGTATAATTACTTTCTAGATATTACGAGTGTATTTTTCAATTCAACGACTTTTTGTGGTCCTTCAGTTTAAGTGATTTTTGCTTGTGCTATAACCCAGGTACATTATGTTCAATTCATCAAGGTCTTGTTCAAGTTTCTTTCATTGGTTATTACAAAGCTAAACTTGACAGTTAGTCTTGTATGAATTACATAAAAGGAAAGTACAACTTGTGCATTGTGCAGTAGAGTATGCATCTTAATTAACGCTCTTAACTGAATGGATTTGCACCGAAAATTTAAAATAACAGTATGGAACGATAAGGGTAATGGTTCTTTTTCCTGTTTGTAAGACGCATTCAAGCAGAATTCCATGGATATGAAGAGGTTATAAAACACGAAATTTCGACCGTCAATTCACGGAGATTTAGTGTCTTTTAGCAAGATTTCTACTTTTTGTTTCTGCGTTTTATTGAAAAATTTCTCGAGAAAACTATTTTTTGCCCACTTTATTTGAAAGCTCTTCTAGTCAGACAATATTTTTCTTAAAAAATTATTTAAATGGTTCGTTTGATATGACTTTTGAAGTTGAGTAATGCTACAGGTACATAGGCATACACATAATGGTTCACATAGGATTCTGAAAAGAGTAATACTACATGTACATAACGATTCACATAATGGTTCACATAATTACATGTGACATGTAATCCAACCTTTAATTCAAATTTCACACTTACACATCAATAAGTGGATGACTGACACATCAGCATTATGTCAATCATTATGTGAAGCATTATGTACCTCTAGCATTTTCCTTTGAAGTTTTAGAGATCCAAAAATTGATTTGAATCTGTTTGACTAATTTTATAAAAGTGATTCTTTTAGTTAGAAAGCCATTTTAGAAATTAATTTCAAAACAAAAATTAAGATAATTTTATCAAAAAACTCTTCTAAAGAAAGCAAAAGTAAAAATCATGCTAACTGGCTCTAAGGCCTTGTTTGAGCCACATTCTCATTTTCATTATCTTTCTTCTACTCATTTTCAATCACACATTCTTCAATAAAATAATATTTTTCATCACATCAATAATTTTTTCTTCTTTTTCAACAACATATTCACCATCACATCACAAAAAGAAAAAAAATCCATTCTCTCATAAAAAAATGTGCATCAAACACACTCTAAATATGTTTAAAACGGCATTTTAATCCTAAAATTAGGTTTTAACTTTTGAAAAAACTTGCCAAACGAGTCCTTGAAGAATTAAAGATTTTATAAATTGTCTTCTCCCCCTCAAAATCAGTTTACTATCTCACATTCGAAATGGTTATGTTAGAGATTACTATTTGAGTTGAAAAACTAACACTTGAGTTGAAAATACACCACTAAGTTATAACGTCAGAAATCAATGGTTCAATCAGCACTGTGGCATCTTTCTAGTTACACTCTTTCCAACTCAGTTTTGTGTTTGTGCAGTTGCTCTTTCAACTCCTCCTTCCACCCTTGAATCAATATCTCTTGTTTATTGATAAGCTCAGTCTTTAATTTCAACTCATCTTCCATCGTAGCAATCTCCTGCAGAAAATATGACATTAAAGACCGACCAGTCCTCCTTGGATACTAAGAGTATTACGCATTGTGTCGATAGGGATTTATCTGCAGTTTACCTTCTGAAGGGTTTCTGATCTGTTGGGCTGATCTTCGCGTTGTAAACCAATAAAATAGAGCTGAAGCTTTTTGGCTGCCTCCATAAAATCTCTAGCGTGTCTCTCCACATCAACTGAAGCAACCCGAAAATGTTACATCTTCATTTTTTATTTTATTTTATCTTTCTGTTTTATTCATCAATTGGTGAAAAAAGGCCAAACAAACGGAATTATATTAAACCATTCCATGGGACAATCACCTAGCCATAGACAAATTTATTTAACAGGAACTTCCAAGTTATTCTAAATTCAATATCATTCTAAATTCGATATCAATGGCTCATAAACGGAAATGTTGAATATAAGTTTGTAAATTTCGACCTCACAGCACATTTACTATTAACCATCCAAGTTCTTCAAGTTTGTCAATCAGCGTACAACAACAGCTACTGCAAGTAACGCCTGCCAATGCATAACCTTAGGTTCTTCCACTAAATTGGGGCGCAAAAGCTCATATTAGAGTTAGGTTTCTTTGGAGAACTATTGTTATCAAAATCCCAGTTCATATAATGATAAGCCACCTGCCTAGAGAACAATTTTAAGGGGAAAGAATGGGTACTGAATATTTTGACCAATGCAAAGAATAAGTAGCTAAAACGTTGTGAATTATTTATGCACAATTCATGTTATCTAAGATGAAATTGAAAACATGCAAAGCTTAAACACATTTATAATGGTTCGCTCTAAATACAAGAGCTACGTCCACTCATTAAGACAAGTTTCACTATAACAGTGAAGAAGAGTACTAAGTTTTTCTCAAGCCTCTCCCACACCAAAACAACCCCCTAAATCTCCTATATTTAGCATGAATATTAGGGGTGATTAATGCATGTATAAAATACCTAATATCACTCTAATAGAAAATTTGCCTAGGAGCTTCACCCTTGAACTCTCTAAGCCGGAGCTGCCTACGGCCACCCCATGAAGAGGATAAGTTTAGAGTATAATAAGGCTCTACATGGCCCAGCAATTTACTGTTTTATTATTTATCCATTCCGATTTGCCATTTCCCCTTTCCCCTATCCAAGAATCCCCTATTTCGTGCCAATTTGAAAAGGTAGAACTAAAAACTAACAGAAAAATGATAACTTACTCTGGTGAGAAGGATGGGGAGAACGATCAATTGCTTGGAGCTCTCTTGCAGGTAAGCATGGTAGCAAAGCAGCCTCCAATGCTACCACGTAAGAGGTCATGTCCTCCTTCGTTGCAGGAGGAGACTGCAATTGTGCATCATGCTGCGGCTCATTCAACAGTCTTTCAGCCATGTCAATCTTTATAAAATTGTCGATTTTGAAATCACAAACCGGAAAATACAAACGAATTGGATTAAGTCATGTATGCTACAATAGCAACGCAGATGCCAAATTCATTTTCAGTTCAATCCACGTTGAAGGAAATAAGGGGAGTGGGATTTTCACCGAACACATACAATGCATTAAATTGGGAAAGGGTTACGAATTGACAATAAGCTTCAAAAAAATCAAAATAGTAATAGAATAATCACTTAGTCAATTTAACGAACATGTGAAGTGCACGGTGCAATTGACGATAAAACTACAAAGCAGATTCCAAACAAAGAAGAAATACCAGCATACAAACTCCCTTAGTCCCACGTGCGTAATCCACCTTAACTTAAATTTGTGAACATTGAATTTTCAGAAAAAGTAAACAAACTGAAGATTTGACTGTATATTTCTGAGTTTCAAGATTGTACGAGATTCCTCTTATTCCAAACGAAAGAAGCAACTTCAAGGCTAACTGCTTGTGCTTGTGTGAGGGAGAGAGGCTAATTGCTCATTTATAGTTGAAAAGGACCTAACAAGTTACCTCATTTATAGGCCTTTGTTGATTTCACCTTCTTTTGCTAAAATTTCAATTTTGAAAATTAAACATTAATTTTCATAATATATTTAGAGCCCGTTTGGTAGAGATTAAAATTGAAAAATTAGTCGTTATTGTTGACTTTTATTAGACGAGTGGGACCCAATAACGGCCATATTTTCAATTAAATTTGGATTTTAATCTTGGGCAAACATTGTCTTAGTAAGATTCACGTGTACAATTTAATAATATATGAGAAAATTTTCGATAGGACGATCTTATATGTATATGTCATGGGATCGATTATTTAAATCGTGATACCTTGAACACTAACCTACTCAAATCATGATATCTCGACATTCGAGTGGATCTTTCCACTCACTTGTTTCTCTTCTTACCACAGCGGATGTCGAGATGTCATCATTTGAATGATTTAAATACAAAATTTCATGATTTAAATGACGAGTATTATCACGTGTGCATATAAGACCGACCAATTTTTCTCTTTAATTACTCTTCATTTATTGAATAGTAAAATCTTAGCAAAAGTAAATGAACCCAAACAAATGCTATATAAGTAAACCTATTTCATGACACTATAGTAAGACTTCTATTGAGTTTATCAATGGAATCAAAAACAAATGCTATATATAAGTAAACTTTATTTCACGACACTATAGTAAAGACTACTATTGAGTTTATCGGTTGAGTCAACTTTGACATACAGAGAACTATAAAAATTTTAGGAGGGCAAAGTATACACGTACTATGAGAATTTTCAAAATGTTGCTCGAGTGGTTGCCACCCCGACCCATATCCCTCAATATTTTAGATGACAATCATACTTGGGGTACACCAAGTGTACACTATGTTTGACAGTTTGCTAGTTATTTGCTAATTTTTTTTTTTTAATAGTTTTATCGTCAACAATTTTTTTTTGAACAAAGGCAATGTCAAACATGGAGCGTACAAATGATATTTTCCTTTAACTAAAACATTTGTCGGCCACGTAACACCGTAGTCCTTCCGAACATTATTCCCTCAAATGAGGAGTACACGAGAAATCTTGGAAGGGTATTTTTGTTTGCATGCTTTTGACATCTTAGATATCAATAGATCTCCTTTCGCGTTTAAATGCAAAATGAACAATCGTTTACTTAAATTATATGAATCGGATAAAAATGCTCCCAAAGAACTGCAAACCTTATATTTTCCTTACACAATCGAAAATCCTTAGAAGGGATACCAAGCCCTATCAAAGATTTAATTATTATAGAAATTGAAAAAAAAAAAAAAAAAACTTGTGTATAAAATACAACATACACCCTACATTAAAACGTATTTTACGAGTAATTCTTCAATTAATGGAACACAATATTACCTTGCGTAGTATTTTACATGTACATTTTCAATCGAGTTATCATTAGTATAATTGGTGCAAAGTTTAATAATTATCATTGTAAATGACCATTTTGAAATTTATTATAAACTTTGGTGACCATTGTGGAAATTAACTCTAGATGAAACCGTATTCTAAAATTCGAGCAAATGCGCCGCCTAGGTGCAACGTGCGGCCAAACTGAGTCGAATTCCGGAATGCGCGGGAAAATGCATTTTCCATCTGAAATGCGGTGCAATGGGCGCGCCTAATCCCGCCTAGGTGTTCCTAATGCGCGCATTATGCCGTCTAGACGAACAAAAAATCCATTTTTTTTATATAAAAATATATTTAAAGTTTTAAAAATACGAAAAGCATTATGATACTTATTCTTCGCATTGACACGAATCCTCGACTTATCGCAAAGCCAACAATATGATGAAATTAGCAAGTGAATTTTATTTTAAATTTACCCAAAAAAATGGTGAGCTCCCGCCGTCTACACTCGATGCCACTCAACTTTCCAAATGACCAAATCCCCCATTGCCCATTACTCAGTTTTGAATTTTAAGATTTGTAACTGACGTTACACTGTAAATCCAGCATCTTTTGCTTGCAATTTTGGTGAAATTATGTTGCACGAACTGTTACTGGCGCTCCTGGGTCACACCGGAGATCTTATAATTGACGAAAGGGAACACCGAGAATCGCTTCGAGTTAATTTATCCAAAGACGCGCCGCTTGCCGAAGAATCCACCTTCAAACTCGCGCCCGATCTGTCCTTCATCCAGCCCAGCGATAAGTACATGATTTTACGCTTTTTATTACTTAAATTCATATTTTTCATACTAATTTTTCTTTAATTTTTTCGTCTATTGTACATAGCGATTGTAATGATACATGAATTACTGGAAAAAACGCCGATGAAAAGAAAAATTAACATCTTTTGTAATTAGTACTCACTCGTGGGTTTTAAATTGATTGAACAAGATTTTTTTTTTTAAAAGGAGAATTTTTTAGAAGGTGATTATTTTCATTTCTTTTGTTTATGTTGGGTTTGTTTGTTGCAGGGAAGTTATTGAGAAGATAATTACGCTAGGGTTTTATTACAGAGAGTTGGACCGTTTTGCTTCCAAGTGTCGAAACTTGAGTTGGATTAGGTCTTCGAAAGACTCACCATTGTCGAGTAATGCTGAAATATTGAAAGGGAAAAAGTTGAAGCAGAGTGTCTACCGAAGAGCTGTCGCCAATGGGATTGTGGAGGTGCTGTCACTTTACAGATCTGCTGTTTTACATATTGAGCAGAAATTATTGTCTGATTCTCTTCCCATCCTGGCCTCTGTGACGCAAGGACTCAACAAGGTTAGATATTGGCTATGCATTTATCCTATAAAAACGTCTTGCATACATCTAACAGAGATGCAATCTTATTAGAAAAGGTTAGAAAAGGGAGAGGTGGTGCAGAACTGATATGGTTTGTTAGTGGCTAAAGATCTTGTTACTAGATACTGAGTGCGAGAAATGATTCACGTAGCAATCAAAGTTATATAGAATAATTTAATATGTTCCTCTTGTGTAGCCCATCTGAAATATCCATGTTAAAATGAATCACTGAAAATGTGCTCTGAAAACAACACTTAAAATTAGTTTGATCTGTATGCACTTTGGATGCCTTGTCGGGTTTCATGTATTAATATTATGTCGTTTAGGAGTTTATTCGTCCAGGTTCTGGAGGCATTCTTTTCATTTTAATTTACCTTTCCTCCTCAATATAGCTCGATTTATCTGACTGGGTCTTGTTGCATGTAATTTATCTGTGTAAATGTAGATGTTAATGAATACTAACTGAATTAAGTAAATTGTTTGCTGCACTGGTAGGTAGGTTAGTTTGCTTCTTTAGGTATCTATTGCTAAAATGGCATTCTATGTTATTGAATCCAATACTTTTATATTTTCCTATGATTGTGTTCTTTAGGGGTATCTAGTTTTATTCTCAACTAACTTGGGAACATCTGTCCCAGTTCTTTGTTCTGTTACCACCACTTTATGAGCTCATTCTGGAGATTGAACACGATGGTATCTGTGGTGGGAAACTTCTCAATATTTTGCAGAAGCGATGCCACTGTGGAGTTCCTGAATTGCAGACGTGCATCCAGCGGTATGCATTACTCATCCTTTTTCATTAAGTTCATACTTATTTCTTTCTTCCACCGATTGATTTTGTACTCAGTTATTATACGTCACGTATCTGATGTAGCAACTTTAGGAATTTATGAGAATTGTATAGCCTTTTCCATGCTATTTTAATACATAGGAGAAGGAGGTCTGTTAAAAAAACCAGAAGTTGGGAGATGTTTCCAAGTCAAAAATGTGTTCATCAGGATCAGTTGAAGCAGTTCAGTTGTGCTTATTTTGTACTAATTTACAAATCTTCTTATATTAGATGAACTATAGATACTAGCCTGCAAGAAAGTTTTATAGGTCCTGCACGTATCACCATTGAAACATGCACCTGTTCCTGAAACAAATGAATCTATATTTTTGGGGTGTTAAAATCTGACACGAATGAAATAAGGGTCCATCAATTTATGGATCACTAAATTTTTTGTAAAACATCACAAATTTGACTTAATTTTTCAAAAAACAAGCAGCTTTAGCAGATGCATCAGTGGACATGTTTATTCGTCTTTATCTTCAGTGTACGATCAGAGGATTCTGCCATGAAATAAATGAATCTATATTTTTGGGTTGTTAAAATCTGACACAAATGAAATAAGGGTCCATCAATTTATGGATCATTAAATTTTTCGTAAAACATTACAAATTTGACTTATTTTTTCAATAAATAAGCAGCTTTTGCGGATGCATCAGTGGACATGTTTATTCGTCTTTATCTTCAGTGTACGATCAGAGGATTCTGCCATATGTAAAATTGTTAGATCTTTCTGGGGACAAATTGGCCCTTTGTTAGCATATTTAGTTGGACCAGAAAGAGGAGTTTATTTAGAATATTTATGCTAGAGTGAAGAGATTGCTTTAGTAATTTGCTATGCATAAAAGTGTAATTCTTTCCTTCTTTAATCTGGAAAACTGTCCTGATAAGGAATTTTCTTGAACAATTAATAGTTGTTGTTCCATTTTATCTTGCTGGACAAAGCAATATGATCATTAAATGTTTGTTATTTACTTAATCTAGGCAGATGATTTCCTTTCGACTCGGATTAATAACAAGTATAAATCTTTCCTCCTCAAGCAGGCTTTTATGGCATGGACATCAGGTCATGTTCAATCAACTTGCGTCTTGGATGGTTTATGGGATTCTTCACGACCAGTATGGAGAATTCTTCATTAGAAGGTATAAATTTTCTGAGTTCTTTACTATTTTTGTCTTCTTTTCAATTTTGTTTGAATGTCGTAGCTGCATAAATCTAGAAATTTAAATAATTTCATTTCATTTCCAGGCAAGAGGATAGAGATTCAGAACACGACTCACCTTCAGACACACTCGAGAAATTGGCTCGCATGTCAACCGAAGACAAATCTCTAACTGATTGGCACTTGGGATTCCATATCTTGCTGGTATATTAATCTTGTTTTCTACTGTTGCTTTCCCATTCTTCTTGTCAGGTTTGATGATGTTAGGTGCTACTATCTTTATGGGTATATCGTTTCAGGATTCTATGGCAGTATTACTCCGGTTACTAATATGATGTAATAGTTATGTCTAAATCTTAACTTATTCTTTATCTTGGTCTTTATTCAATAACTACCTTTATCTATATCAAATGATGATCTTTTCATTGAAAATCTGGAGTGGAATAAATTTCATCAACACCGTGCATCTCATGGATTTTTTACCAAGAAGAGATTTTGCATGGTGTTCCAGGTCACCTCACTTTTGGAATTCTGGACCAAACGTATCATTTTTTTTTTTCATGTTTTTTTATCATTTTAAATTTCTGAAACTAATACTCATTTTAGTGAAGTAGAGGGAGTCAGAGACTCGTCGATATAGCCTCAATCTTATGATTAGACAAATTTACTTTTGAATGATTTAGTGATTTCTGTCACGCAAAGACTATAAGCGCAGTTTGGATAGACTTAGGGTACTTAGCTTTTATTTTTACGGCCCATGGGTTGCTCACTCTTTGCTCCCTATTGATATTGATGGAGATATAAATGTAGTTTAGATAAGATTTTAAAATATAGTTTAATTCCAATTATGAATGTTTAAATTAGATTATATTAATTTTAATATTTTGATAAAGTTTTAATCTAGTAGAAGTTTGTTTGATTTTAGCTTCTTTTTCATAGATGGCTTATTTATTGTAATAGACACCCTTGATTATATGGATAAAACTATTTTTTCTTTGCCCTCAATTTTTCTCTTGTTGGACCCCCTTTCTCTTGTTGTTCTGCAATTGTTCGTTGTCAAATTAATACACTCCTGCATTAGATATATTTCTTTTCGCGTTAAATTAAACAAAATAAAGAAATAAAAATACATTGGCAATTTCAGCAATGAAGTCGAGGATTATTTTTGGCTCATTGGTAATCACCTTCAAGTCAGTACTTGACATTCATTATCACATAAATTTCCAAATAGAAACTACTACACTTTCATTTGTTTCATTCTGCAGGATATGCTTCCAGAATACATTCCAATGCATGTTGCTGAATCCATTCTATTTGCTGGGAAAGCTATCAGGGTTCTTCGAAATCCAAGTCCGACCTTCAAGTTTCATGATGCACCGTCTCATCCTAGAGGATCACAAAAGATACAAGGATTTAATGGACGTCTTTCTTTCCAAAGGGACTCTTCTGTCTGTACCACGTTGATTGCCGAAGAATTACTTCCACAATCTGAGGCTGACAAGATTGAGGCTATGCTTCAGGACTTGAAGGTTTTCATATAAGCTAAACGTAATCATTAGTGTATATATTGTCTGTCATGTAGTTAGTAGTTAATAATATTTGTATAAGGTTTGTCATTATGACACACGTAACACAAAGTGCAGTTTAACCTTCTGTTGTTTTGTTCTCTTTTCCCAAGTATTGAAGTCTTTATCATTGTGAATTTGTGTTATTAACATTTATTGGTTTCCTTTCTGGGATGACTCAGTTCTTTAGTTGTGTGCAGGAGTCATCCGAGTTCCATAAGAGATCATTTGAGACTGCTGTTGCCTCTGTAAAAACAATTGCAGCAAGTCATCTTTGGCAGGTGACAAATGCCAAAAGATAATGTTCTTGGCTCTTGGTCTCTAAAGAAAATTCATTTATAAATTCTTGTCATCTCTGCAGCTTGTGGTAGTACGCGCTGACTTGAATGGCCACTTGAAGGCTCTTAAAGATTATTTTCTCTTAGCCAAAGGCGATTTCTTTCAGGCATGGATAAATGACACTTCACGTACTTTGCTTTGCTTTGTTAATTAGTTCTCATAAACGCACGTTTTCTTTTCTAATAAATCTTAAGCTACTTTGTCACTTCCATGGAGACTTTCATTCTTTGATGCCTTTAGGGTACACGATTTGTCTTGCGATTATATATCAAGATAAAGTATTTTCTATCTCCTTGCAAACTCTTTTTTTGAAAGAAGGTTTTTGCTACAGGGTTGAGATAACCATTACTTCTGAACATGTGCAAGGAAATATGTTTCATGAAGTATCCTTAATTTAGATATATAAAAAAGGAAAAGATCATTTTGTTGAACTGGAACGAACATTCTGTACATGCCCCTACAATATATTGTAGATGAGTTATGTTGAGTGATTGAACACGCATAATATTGAAGATGATGTTATATGACAGAGTTTTCTTGAGGAGAGTCGGCAGCTTATGCGTTTACCACCTCGCCAGTCGACTGCTGAAGCCGATCTGATGGTTCCTTTTCAGCAGGTAACATTTAGTGATTGTTACAATTTGCAAAGGAAAATATTTTTTATAGGTACCCTCCAGCTAGTTTACTATGAAATATTTCTATGTATGATCTTGTAAGTAGTGTGTAGCCTTACAGTTGCCTGACTAAGGAAGATTTGGAAAACCATTTCTCGTTAGAGAACTGCTACATGTACACCATGCCGTGTACACAAATTTTTTATTCATGGTGTGCCCCCACATGTGAGGGGGCTGTACACCATGCCCTAAGCAACCATCATTTCCCTTCTCGATATGCCTCTTTTTCCTCCCACTGCCACAGTTTGGTATAAAATAAATATTTGGGTCCATTTTTGTTTTTCCTTTCTTTGCTGATGTTGCATACATTCCAGAAGTTATACTACTATTGAAACTAGCATATCTGATTCAGGCTGCTATAAAGACTATTGGTGAAGAAGACAGATACTTTTCAAGAGTGTCTCTACGGTTTGAACTACTTCTGTTTTCCTAATGTCTAATTGGAAGTAGAACTTGTCAGATGGCATTTCTTTTAATCCTTTTATATCGTTTCTAGGATGCGTGGACTCATGATTAAATCCTCCCAAGTCGAGTTGCCGAAAGTAAAAGCTAATTCTGAAGGTGACTTTAGTGTCCAATCAGATACTATTACTTCCTTAGAGATGTCCCTCGATGGATGGGATGGCATTGCTCTTGAATATTCTATTGACTGGCCCTTGCAGTTATTCTTTACGCAGGAAGTGCTCTCTAAGTAAGCATTAGATTTTCCTTGTTTTGCCTACTTTTGAAATTATAGTCTAAAAATTCGAGATGAGACATCCTCGTATAAACTTTCAATACTAATAAATCTTAGTGAAATATCCATCTGTTTTGTTTGTCATTGCATTGCATCAGTTACAATTGATAAGTGTACAACGATTTGCTTGTCCAGGTATCTTAGGATATTCCAGTATTTACTCCGACTTAAGCGGACACAGATGGAATTGGAAAAGTCATGGGCTTCTGCAATGCAGCAAGATCACTCAGATTTTGCCAAACGTCATATTGATCGAAAGAACAGTTCAATATCTCCACAGAGACGGCAGCGGTTTAGACCAATGTGGCGTGTTAGAGAACATATGGCCTTCCTGATCAGAAATCTTCAATTTTATATCCAGGTAACTCGTGGCAGAAATTTTTTTCTTATAATTGGTGAGTCAATGCAGATATTTTTCCATGTACAACGGAACCTAGAGGAGAACTACAACAATAACATTTTCCACTCCATTCATGTCTATGTGCATGTTTCTGTTGGCCAATGACAGAATCAAAAACTGTCTATTTAGTTTTGGCATTTTGGCCCGTATGGTCCACAGAAAAGCTTTTCTGCCTAAAATCCTTGGATAAATTTCTCAAGAAATCTGGAATTTCTTTTTTGCTGTTATTAAACAAGAGAAAGGAATAAATTGCCTAGAGCAATCATTCCATATTAGGCGATTCGCTAACCAAACATGACCCAGAAAAATCCAATTCTCTTCCACTTCTTGAGCTTACATCTCTCTTGAACAAGAAGCTCATGTATTAAGAATTTTGATTATCTACACGCTGGAAATTTCAGTGCACCATGAAGTTAGTAGGAAACTGCTTTCATTTTATGCAAAAGTATTAATATTTTGTAATGAGATTAATAGCAGAAAACCCCCCTAAAAAGGTTTCAATTTGCGATATACTCCCCTATCTATTGGAAATCGCAGAAAACTCCCATGTTTGAAACATTTTGTGCGAAAAACCCCCCTACTGTCAACATCTGTCAAATTTGTCGTTAAAAATAGTAAAAAATGCCAAAATTAAGAAGGGAAAATTGCTAGTTCAGTACCCGAACTTTTACTTTTTTACAAATTAAATCCAAATGTTTTGGGTCACCCAAAATTCCAAATCTTTAAAACTTTATTTTTCACCCTACTCCATTATACCCCACTTCATCTTCTTCCCCAAAAAATCATTTTTTTAATTTTTCACATAAAAATCAATTAATTTAAAAAGACTGTATGATCCGTCCGGGGTTACAGTAACTTACAGCAAAGTCCGAAAGTCAGGCCCTTTGTTGAAGCCTGTGAGGCGTTGTTTGGACTAGAATACCGTGACTTGCATTTTCTTAGATGATGCGCAATTTTAAGTGTAAGTGTCACGTATTGGCGTCACATGTATGTACCTACAGCTTTATATGTACACGTGACACAACACAATTAATTTTCTTAGATGACAAGCATATTTATGTGTGTGTGTCACGTGTTGGTGTTACAAGTATCTGCCTACAACTTTATATTTAGAATAATCCTATTCATAATGAAGATAACTGATAGTCATCCTACGTGACATACATTTATCAATTTGTTATTTGATGCATGAGTGAATAAAAAAACTACCACATTAATGTATTAACAAACTGCAACGTATATGTCACATAGGACGACTATCGATAGTTTTCATTATGAATAACATTACTCATGTATGTACATCACACAATATAATGAATTTTTCTTCCATTTTGAATTGAGAAGTTAATTTTCCAACGTGAGAATTTATGATATTTTTGGATCCAGATAAAATGAACTCGTAAAAAGTGGCAATGTTAATCAATGAATTAGTATTTTGGATAGGTTGTATTTTTCGCTTTTTTTCACTTTACAATATAATAGGTAAGCAAAATTAGACGGGATTGAACATCTAGATTATAAGGATTGAGCGGTAGTATCTTAACTTTTTCTTTTTTCTTATATAAATATGGATTAATAGCAGAAAATCCCCATATTTGAAACATTTTGTGTGAAAAATCCCATATAGTCAATATTCGTCAAATGTTTCATTAAAAACAATAAAAAAATGTCAAAATTAGGAAAAAAAATTTCAGTTTCAATATCCAAACTTTTACTTTTTTACAAATTAATTTCAAATATTTTATATGTGCTACCCACAATTTCAAATATTTAAAACTTTATTTTTCACCCTACTCCATTCTATCCCACTTCAACTTCATCCCCAAAAATATTTTTTTTTATTTTTCACATAAAAATCAATTAATTTAAAATAATTAAATCAAAGATTAAAAAAAAAAAGAGAAAAAACAAAATTTCGTCTTCTTCCCACTCCCAACCCCACGCACCCCATCACCAACACACCAAACCAAGGAGTTCCCCTGGGGTAAGTTTTTTAATTATATTATTTAATTGTGTTTATGATATATTTTTTGTGCTTGTTTTACTTTATATAAACGTTTCTGTGCACTGTACAAGCTTTCATTCAGTACATAGTATGCTTCTGTGTGTTTATATATTTTCTGATAATGAAAATGTATATTTTGTTGTGGCAGTTATTTCTGGCTGTAATAATAATCTGGAAAAAATTCCCTGTAATTTTTTTAAGTTATTCTTATTATTCTTTACTTTGTTATACTGAAATTTCCCTTTCCAATGATTTCCCCCTTTGGTTTGGTGTGTTGGTGATGGGGTGCGTGGGGTTGGGGGTGGGGATGGGGATGGGAAGAAGAAGAAATTTTTTTTTGTTTTATCTTTGATTTAATTATTTTAAATTAATTGATTTTTATGTGAAAAATAAAAAAATGATTTTTGGGGAAGAAGATGAAGTGGGAGTAGGAGTNATTTTTATGTGAAAAATAAAAAAATGATTTTTGGGGAAGAAGATGAAGTGGGAGTAGGAGTAGGGTGAAATATAAAGTTCTAAAGATTTGGAATTGTAGGTGGCACATATATAACATTTGGAATTAATTTGTAAAAAGTAAAAGTTTGGGTACCGAAATTGCAATTTTTCCCTTTTCAATTTTGGCATTTTTTACTGTTTTTAACGGAAAATTTGACGGTAGGGTGATTTTCACACAAAAGGTTACGAACATGGGGGTTTTCTATGATTTCCAATAGGTAGGGGGGTATATTGCAAATTGAAACGTTTTTAGGGGGGTTTTCTGCTATTAATCTTTTTGTAATGTGTTGAGATACAATTAAAGGTCTTGTCTGTATTACACCTGTGAATACTCCATAATGTTGTTACCAATCAACTTCAGTGATATTTCAGTAAAAGTTTTACAATGAATATAATGGCTATGCAGAAATCTAACTTTATGATTTTCTGATATGCCTAAGTTTGATTCTTCGGATTAACGAAAGGCCTTTTTTTTTTTCCAATTTCCCAGGTGGACGTAATAGAATCTCAGTGGAATGTTTTGCAAGCTCACATCCAAAATTCTCATGATTTTACAGAACTGGTTGACTACCATCAAGAGTAAGTAACATGGAAGATTTAACGCCATAAGACTATCTCGTGCTCTTGCTATGATTTTCCAGTTGTAGCAATTGTTATTTACTTGATGATTAACTTTTGATTCTGACTCTTACCTTCCAGGTTGTGCTTTGTTTATACAGTTACCAAAAAATAAACTATTTATGAACTCATCCAATCTGGCATATAAACATAGCAAATAGGTGCTGTTTTTGTTTTGTACTTTGATATGTGGTGCTTTCGTGTTTGATAGCTGGGAGAATGTTCAATCTAATTTTGTCACTCGTTTAACACTAATACGCATATAAAGACACTTCTCTTGGATAACCAGGTTGGATATGCATCTCGAACATGTTTGGCTATGCTTAATAAAAGTTATGCTTCTTTTAAGTAAAAAGTGAAGTTATGTTATGTTTGGATATATTCTACTTGTTAGTAAATTTAAGCAAATTCATGTTTGGAGTTGAGATACTTTTAAGTTAGATGAATGTCAAATTACTAAAATGTCCTATATGTTTTCTTTATGCAAATTGAATCTTGTAACGTTGACATGTTTACAAGATATTTTAGTTTTTTTTTTGGTCAACCCTTAAAATAAGCACCTGTCTTTTTCTGCATGAGGTTTTGGCAGTTTTGTAGCCAATTTTTAAGCTCATTTTGACTTTTAAAAAAAAAAGCCTCTTATTTTTAAACTTTATGTGTTTGGTAAAACTAAGATACTCAAAAGGATAAGCTCAGCCAAACACGCTCCTTGTCTTGTCACCATCAATATAACACTACATGTCCTTTTATTTAATTGTGTTCTTTCGATCGGTAATCAACCTGGGCTGTTATGATTAGCCAAAAAAATTAGCATGCATCGGTGAAGTTGTATGGAAAAGTTTATGGTGAGCTCTCAAGTCTGATTTTAATGTATAAATTGCCAAGAGATATTAAATTGGATCTAGTTTAAATATGGGCTGTCCAATATATTGTAAGTTCTACTTAATTGCTGTAATATCCTGGGTTCAGAAAAGTTATTGATGACTACGTGCATTAAGTATTGGGTCTGTTCCCCCTTGCTTGACTGGAAAAAGAGTAAATGGGACTGTTATTTATTGATTATATGCCTGCAGGTACTTATCTGCGTTAATTTCACAATCTTTCTTGGACATTGGTTCTGTGTCTCGGATTCTGGACGGCATTATGAAGCTTTGCTTGCAATTTTGCTGGATGATTGAGAACCAAGAAAACAGTGAAAATACTGTTGAACTGGAGCGCATAGCTGAGGTACTTCCTGCAAAATTCTATTTGTAACTATGTTGGGCTTATGATATGTATATGAAAATTATCTGAATCTGCAGAAACAAGAATTTCACTTAGTCATACATTTTGGGCTTTAGGGATTTGCCTTGTACCTGTTACCTGGTTGTCGATCATCAAGAATTCACACATTTAGTCCTGGCAAAGCTTGGAAGTTGTCCGCTTGATCTTTTTTTGGTCAAAACAACATAACAACATCCTAGGTTTATGGTTGTTCAATACAAATTTTTTGAAAGGGCAGCTAGCTTAAAAAATGAGCTGCTAAATAAGCTGGGTAGCTTAACTGCTCAAGTACTCTCCAGTTTGATCCAAAAAAATCTAACTAATGTACACTTGTCCATTTTTTAGAGATCCATATACGAAACCTCATCTGCACAATACCATGCCCTCCCTAACTTCAGGGTCCCGTGGAATTAGTTGAGGTGCCCGCAAACTGGTCCGGACATTCACAGTTATCAAAAAAAAAACAATACCATGCCCTCCCTGCATTCTTGCACTGCACTACAAGCTTCTTATTAGCTTTCCTGCCACCCCAACCCCCATTGCCAGCCTCCAACTTCCAAAGCTGCTAAACCAGTACCTCCCTTTTAGTTCCACTGTTGCATCCCTCCTTTCGATCTTTACCCATCAGTTCACAACTCACACCCAGATGACTACCTATGTGCACTGCACACAACCAGAAGTATGACCACATCACAATATCGAAGTACACACTCTTGGACCTCCACTCATGCTTCTTTCTGTTCACTATCCTAAATCGGAAATGCAGGAGTCATCATTATTCATATCCAATTTGTTAGTAGCCCAATCAAAGACTGAGCGGTATGCAAAATCAAAAGGAGGAAAAGTGGGTATAAAATAGCGGAAAACTGAGGTTCAAGGACCAGAAATCTCTGAAGATGGTCATGAGTGATCACCTGGGAGAACAGAGAACTGGGCGGTCTTCTGGTTTTTTTGGTAGGACAGAGAAAAATACATGAGGTGCTATTCTTTATTCTTCTAGATAATAAATTAGGACTTGACCCTAGTTTTAATAAGGTGTCAACAACATTTGGTGTCCTGAAATTTTTCAAATTTTGAATCCAAATATTATCAAATGCAGGAAAACATATCTAGATATAAAAGTGGAATGTCCTTTTTAGTTATTTAGACATTATAAAGTACTTATCAACACCTCTTTATACAAAGACGAAAATAACTTGCAGAGTTAGTATTTTTTATCCAAACAGATGGTTGCTTAATATCAAAACGAATTCTTCAAGCGTACAAGCATTAAGAAGAGCTTACAAGATTTTAATAATTTAAGTGTTATTCATGATTAAGGCAAATGTGCTCACAGTTATTTGCCATGTTTGAGATTTTATGGCTAAACTAGTAATTCTATTTAGTCTTACTTTCTTTTATCGAATCATATGAATAGTAATTATATCTTCCATTTGATTCCCACAGGAATTCAACAAGAACTCAAATTCGTTATATACTATACTCCGCAGTAGCAGGATTGCTGGGAGTCAGAGAGCCCCATTTCTTAGGCGCTTTCTTTTGCGTCTCAACTTCAACTCTTTTTTCGAGGTGAATTTATGCACTGATTTGGAAGTGTTATGCACACACTAGTCCATCCCAATTATCTTTTAATTTCCTTACATTATTGTTGGCAGACAACTGCTAGAGGGGTGCTGAATGTTGTGAGACCTCGCCCAACACTTGCAATTCTGCAATGAAGACAGCATTTATTCTACCTGCCAACTCTTGCAATTGACTGCTAAAAGCTTCCATATTGGTCTTCCCAGTTTTATTTATTGAATTGTGGTAACAAATAGAGTATTCTAATGCATAGATAATTAGCAAGAGATTTTTTGTTTGGAAGTTGAATGATCCATTTTGATGCATAGCGATTAGATTCCATAATGATCTATACTGAAAACCATTCATACTCTATTGTGAAATTTTGATTATCAATTTACCAAAATTCCAAAGTTTGAAAAATGCACTGCACTTGTTGACTAAGATCTATGACGATACTAATTGGTTCTATCTTGTTCTTCAGGAAATTTTCAAGATGGTTTTGATTGTTAGGGTTGTGTGCTGTTATCAGCTCGATGACTTTTCCATGTCTATATAAACTGGGATTTCGGGTGTGTGCTCTAGGAGCCGGTTTTGGTGATCAAGAGTCATTTTTTAGATTATTGTTTGAAGGTCATGTGAGGTTGATCAGATTGTGGAAGTCTGTTGATACCCAACAGGCATCAGGGTTATGTAAAACTCTCTGTTGTGAGTAAAATTTCACTTTATTTTTTAAGTGGTTTATTGATGCTTTAGTCCTGATGGAGTCTTCCTTTGGCCTGCTGGCTCCATTTTCCTGAACATGGATTTGTAGTCTGTATTAGATGATGTACTTCTGATTATAGCAAATTTTAAGGATGTCACTTCAGGCTCACTTGCAAGTTCATTGAAAAACTTGCTGCCTAATCATCCTGAGATGTGCGTTCGAGTTCGAGATCTTCTCCAGCAAATAATCATAGTTAAGGATTACTTTATTCCTCTCTTATTCTCAGTGATGAAAGAGCAAGAATTGAAATTTATTGTTCCTTTGACCGTCTTTCTTTTGTATGCGTTCGTATATATGATTAACTTAACAAATTATCTAATTTTGTCAAATTTCTGAGATACAATATTTTTATTCATTTATTTTTTATAACTGGTTCAACCCATTTCAACCTTTTAACCCTCTTTGGCAAAATGCACAAGTCAATTTTAATGTTGTCTGTCTTATCAAATGTGCAGATAAAAAGTTTATTTGACCTATCTGAAATGAAAATTTAAGGTTGGCCAAACGTGCCTCCGTTGAACCGTACTGACTGATTACCCACAAGGGCGTAAATTGAACATTTGGAGATGTAACACCGCCAAGAAATAAATACTCTACATCACGGGAGCAAATTAATATACATCAGAACTCGTAAATCATTTTTCCATACACCAAGAATCAATCAAAATGCACATTGGGAAAGCGTTTTTAGGAGAATACTAATTTGCAGCATAAAAATCCTTTATCTGCTATAAATGTACATGGAATCCAACAACTTGGAGGAGCTTATCAAAAGCCGGAATCCGCATCATGTGTCTGCTAGTTTTTCTTTTTACTTTCCGATGTACCAAAAGAAGAAAAAGGCGACGACTCCACAATCACAAAAAGGTTACCTTATTGGATCGACCATTCTCAAGTTTGTTTCTTGCGCCGACACCGGTGATGGGCTTTCTGCAATGAGTTCTGACTAACCCTCTCCGTTTTCGAGCCAGATTCTGGAACAATGAAGTGATAGCAACTAGTTGGCAGTTAGGTTGATTTTTAAAATATAAATAAACTAAATGTTCTCTACCTATAGTTGCATGAAAAGAAACTCAATAAATACCATTGAGATAATTATATTTAAGCAAGAAAGAACTGTTACACGTTCCCAGACAACAAATACTCTTTAGCATTTTTGGTTTAAACACTTTAAAGTACTGGCAGTAAAGCTTTCATCTAATCTAGATTACCATATCAAATTGGTGCCTATAAAATTAGTGGAAAATGCTTGACCTGAAGTGGCAACAACAGCATTCCTCAGCGTGTAGTTTGTTTCAAAAATTCTAACTTTGGGCATCAACCAATCAGAACCCCGAGATGTTAGTTAAATAGTTGAGAAAAAATTAAACTGAGGTTTGAAGACCAAATGCCCTGCCAAGACATTTCACTCAACGAAAATTGTAGAGAGATTTCCTTTGAGAATCAAATTGGAACTGTTCAATAGAATTGTACTTGGACAGCTAGTTTCACCAACACACTTTTGACTTTACTACATTAACAGTTAAAAACTCGTGGCATTAAAATATAGCACGGATAAGGATATCTTCCTCAACATTTCAGAAACATGTATTTGGTTTCTTAACAAATTTACACTGTACAAAAGCCGAAACCTAGCAACATGCTTCATTGACTTGAAATATGGAAGTAATCTGCTATACAAATAAAACGTAGAAGACAACAGAACAAAATACACTACCTACCAAGATGTTAGGGTCTAAAAGGGGGGGATTCCAATCCCCATTAAGCCTGAGCTTTTGGGATCAATGGTTGGATCCTTAACAATTGGTATCAGAGCAACCCCACGTCAAGGGTTCGAATCCCGGAAGGGCGACACAAGCAAAGTGCCGAATGCCAGCAGCTCGGATCTGGGCCGGCTGGTAAAGCGAATTGGCACCACAATTTTTATTTGTTACAATACATTTTAATTGCAGTTAAACTCTGCTCATTGTAGCAATTATTTTCCTAGCTTTTCCATTGAATTCTTATATTTAACATTCCATTAAAATATTCCGTTTACACGCTTTAAAAAATATTATGCGAAAATAAGTTGTTTTATGCCATTTCAACGGATTTTTTGGCATAAAATGTTAACAAATACAAAATGTGTTAACTCAAGAAAAGTTCGAGGATAAGAATGAAATGAAAAATGGTTAAGGATTCAAGTGTTAAAATGAGCAAAGATTAAGAATTCTAAGTGCAAGAAATAAAAATTGTGATGTGAATATAATTACCCCTTGAAAAAACAGCTCTTGAGTAAGCTTAAAAGGCGAATTTGCCCTCGACTTTAAAATAAATACAAAACGTGTCATAAAGATTTTTTTTTTGGGGGGGGGGTGGCGGGATGAGAACATGGAAACTTCATCATCTTCCCAAGCAATATCCTCCAAACCCGCAAAATCCTACATTTAAACCACTGCAATCGTCACCCCCAAACCCCATAGCAGCTACTAATTTGAATTTTCTCAACTTCAAGTGAATCAGAGAATATGGGTTTGGTTGGAAATCGGTCCTGGTGAATAGAAGAATTCTTCTTCAGAACACCAAAGCCCCTCTTCCAATCCCACACTCAATTAAAGAATTCTGCTTCACCTTGCTCATGGTCCAGCGGCACCCACAACAATATGAAAATTTGAGGCCGCTGAAATAGATCTCAAGAGGTTAAGGGTAGTAATGCCAGGAAATAAAGGTGGGGGCTTAAGTGCAAAATGAGGTATAGTTTGGGGACAACGGCTGCGATTTAGCCTACAATTGTAGAGCTTTCATGCACCAACAAACTTTACCGCAATAGCAGCAGACCGCTCATTGAAATAGAACGCGAGGAAGTTTTTCATGCTTCACTATTTATATTTTGGCCTCTTAACAAATTCTATAACGTCCAATAGCCAAATTCCAACATAGAATAAACAGCCCCAGAACTTTAAAAGCATGTTCTATCCATAAGCTAAGAGACAGAAGTAATGAAGCAGAAAGCAACAACTAAATAGATGCTAGTATTTGATCGAATCAGTTGCACAACCACCAAAGTGGATTTTACACTCAAATGCCAGAACATAGCAAACTTACAAAATCCAAATTTAACCGCAACAAAGGGTAATGAAACTATAAAAAGCATGATGACATCTAGCAAAAGGCATGGCATAATTGACTGCATTAATTTGAGGACTTGTTTGAATTATTTCTACCACTCATCAAGTGATACCAAAAGGTATTCACTATGACTTCAATATGATTGCTGTTGCTTTTCCTGTCTTTTGATTTGGTTTTAGCTTATTACATTATCAAGCAATAAGCATCCAATGAACTAACAGCATAGATTACACACATCAGAAATTCAGTATCTTGTAGATGGTAATCAGACATTCAAACCAATTTTCAACAATGACCCAACAATTCATGCTTAACTACACTGCTATTCTCTGTTTAGAAGTAAGCTTTATTCCCCAAGACAACTCTCGAAAAACAGTTCAACTGCAATTTCACTTAATTTTCCTTAATTTGTAATCCCCCACCACAAGCTTCTCTTCTTGTATTAGCTTCGAAATAACGTCAAAACTAGCGAATTCTACAGATAAAATCTTTGACTCCTCTTACGGATATCAACTTTACATAAAGCATAGTTCACACAGGCAAATATCCTACTTCAACCTTTTTTCCCCTTTTAACTGCATTATTTACAAAATTTGGATGCTAATGATCTTAGAAGATTCAATGCACAGATACGACTCAACAGACTTAAGGCAATTTAACACAAAAATCTCAAGTGAATGAAAAGCCCAAATTCCTGAATAAGTACAAGTTACACAGTAGAAGTTACCTCCAAATTCTTCACCCCAAAACAAGGCCCTCAAATCATCTTCTTCCTCGTCAATTTCATCGCCATATCCAAGCTCCACATCACCCCGATACCCTGGCTCACTCCCGTATCCAGACTCGTTCCCCTGGCTATCAGACTGACCTAATTGGCCGCACCCACTACTCAGATTCTCCCTCTCGCCACTCCCATTGCTCTCCCTTTCTCTCCTCGGATTCCTTGCTGCCTCACTCACATCAGATGCCCAATTCGCATCCCCTCCACCGTTCAAAAACAGCTCTCCACTCGAATCCGTCCCTCCCGCCACCATAGGATAATCCGAAGCAGTTCCATAAGCCCTCGATGTCCCCACCGAGCAACAACGCCGGCGAGTCCCGCTCCGATCGCTGCTTCTCCCAGACAGAGACCTCGACCCCCTACGACGACGCTTCCGAGCAAACCACCGCTTATCAGCTACCGTAAGTGGCCTATCGTCGTCAAAAAGGCTGAGCTTCAACATGTCAAGGATGGCACCAATGGAAAACGACGTAGTTCGGTCAGAGCGGCAGGGTCGTTTGCCTTGAGGCCCAGTATAACCGGTACCGCAGTAGGGTTTAACAGAATCAGATTCTAGGGTTTTGCCGGTTGGAAGCTGAAAGGGTCTCCAGTTCTGCAACTGGAATGCGCAAGATTCTATTGGGTGCCGTGATTCTAAGGATCCATATGATATTGCATCATCGCACATATATTTGCTAATATTCATGATTCTATCCATTGATTGAAGTATTAATTACTAATTAGGGAATTTCTGGTTTTTGATGAAGAACTCGAAGATATGAGATTCACCTACGACAATGACCCTCAGACTTCAACCAGAAATATGCGGTAATGGCCCCACGAGTTAATTCAATAAATGCTCAAAGTTAGTATTATTTATTTCTCGATCTTTAAAAAGTTACCTTTGCTCACTTAATTTTGATGTAGGTTACTATTTGCTCATCAAAATTGAGAAGATTACTCGTTGCTCACTCAAATTTAAGGTCCTATTTAGAAGGGATTAAATTTTTTTACAGTAAATTAATTCTCATTTTCAACCACACATTCTTCAATAAAATAATATTTTCCATCACATCAATAATTTTTTCTTCTTTTTCAACCACAAATTTCCCATCA